TTCACTAAGACATGACAATGCACAGATCTGCAGAACAAGGCCCGCTCATCGGTGAACACTGTGTGATGACAGGTATGGTATGGATATTTATAAGCAGATTTAAACTGCTATAGAAGAGCAGTGTTGAAAACTATGCTGAAGCATGAACCATCAAGCAACAGCAAAGCCAGAGAAAAACCAGCACGCAACTTCCCAAGAGAATCAGTTTTCTCCCCTGTAAAGCAGGGATAAATCAGTAGTAACCTGGGATGTCTGGGTGGCTCAGTCGGTTAATCTGCTGCCTTCGGCTCAGGTCATGATCCCAGGGTCCTGGGATCGAGTCCCACATCAGGCTCCTTGCTCAGCGGGGAGCCTGCTTCTCCCTCTGCCTGCAGCTCCTCCTGCTTGTGCTCTCTCTCTAACAAATAAATAAAATCTTAAAACAAAACAGTAGTAACCTTCAGGCTGGTGGACACTTTATTAGGTGCTCAGTAAATAATATACTAATCAAATGCACCAATCACCTTACATGCTTTACCTCACTGAATCCTCATTAAACCCAGAGGTAGGTCCTATTTTGCCATACTTACAATTGATTAGAAACAAATGCCCAGAGGGGTTATATAATTTGCCCAAAAATACTCATTCGGTAAATGGCATCACTTAGATCCAAAACTGGCCAGCTCCAAAGTCTATAAGCAACAGAAGTTGCATTTTGGTGGTCCACCAACAAACTCTTAGACCTACTCAGTGTTGACTAATAATATGGTAGCAGCTAATGTTTGTTAAATGCTTACTATATGCCAGACACTGAGTTCTTCTCAATGGACTATCTCATCAAGTCCTATATGATGTGGTTTTTATTACTGGCACTGTTTTACAGCGAGGCTCTGAGATTCAAAGATTAAGTATATTGCCCAAGGTCACATAGGTGATAAATGGTGCAACTGAGATTTGAAGTCACTGTCTGGTTCCAGAGCCAAACTCTTAACCACTAGACCAAACAGTCTCCTTAAAAAATAATAATGTTTTAAAATGTAGTTTTATTAATTGCCAAGTAGTTGGACATCCTTTTTTTTTTTTTTTAAGATTTTATTTATTTGACAGACAGAGACACAGCGAGACAGGGAACACAAGCAGGGGGAGTGGGAGAGGGAAAAGCAGGCTTCCTGCGGAGCAGGGAGGCTGATGCGGGGCTTGATCCCAGGACCCTGGGATCATGACCTAAGCAGAAGGCAGACGCTTAATGACTGAGCCACCCAGGCGCCCCTGGACATCCTATTAACACAGAACTTTCATTCCCAAGCAACGACAAGTTGATGCACAGTTTGCCATCGTCCCAGCACTGCCTACTCTTTCTCCAACATCAAGGCTAGGAGTCAGCTGCCATTTTTCATTATTATTGTTTGCTCTTTTTTTTTTCCCCCTTAAAATACTTCTTGGGCTTCATTTCTATCAAAAGTGGGAAATAGAAGACAGTGAGCCACATGTCCAAAGAAAAATGGGAGACAAGTGGAAATGAATATTCTTGTGTGTTTAATATGCAAAGTGAATGACTGCTTTCCTTCCCATGCTCAGTTACATTACCTATCTGCTAGAAACATTTGAATTTGATCTGTCTTAACTTCTACATCATTATAAGCAGCAAAAGACATGTTGACAGCAAGTATACAGCTGTTTAAGAGAGAAAACTTTAAATTCTGTCAACAGGATGATAGAAGGAGTCCCACATGCCATAGAATGCTGCTTCTTAAATTCACATGACTTGGAAGACTCCGGTCAATTTAGTATCTGTTTTGTTTTACAAATGTATATTTGCTTGGATAGAAAGAAACTCAGGCCCAGGAAGAGGCTCCGTGTTACCCTGTGGAACACTACTACCTCCCCGGGTAAGGGGATCCTTATTTGAAAAAAAGTCCTCTCAACCCCCATGTCATCATCACCACTGTGCTTGCTTAGCTGCAATGTTTGTTTCCACTTAGACTAGTCACTGTACAACCCAGTCAGACCTCCAGTTGACAAAGGCTACCTAAGTCTAGTTCCACTATGGCCCCACTGGAGACCTATTTGTAAGGAAGTGGTAAGAGGCCCATCCAGACACCTGCCCTTTCACAGAGAAATAATGGATTTGTCATGTGGTTTGCCTCATCTCCATCTCAGCTGAAATTCCATTTGCAAGGGAAAGAGAGTTAATGATGGGCCTTAAATTTCTTTTTTTTTTTTTAAAGATTTTATTTATTTATTTGAGAGAGAGAGAGAATGAGAGAGAGCAAGCACATGAGAGGAGGGAGGGTCAGAGGGAGAAGCAGACTCCCCACCGAGCAGGGAGCCTGATGTGGGACTCGATCCAGGGACTCCAGGATCATGACCCGAGCCGAAGGCAGCCGCTCAACCAACTGAGCCACCCAGGCGCCTGGGCCTTAAATTTCTAAATCCACTAAGGCTTATACCAGTAAGCTGACAGCACTAAATTTACCCCATTGCTGTTCCATTATCTCATACATTCTACTATTAAAATGGGCAACGGGGGATTCATTTCAACCTAGTGAACTATTTATAGGCAGGAAAATAGCCATGGCCACCACCATCCAGAGCCATGGCTTTGCTGAAGGGTCTCTGAGGATTTTCTAAGAACAGAAGCTGACCCACATGGTGGGGTTAAGCCTCCTTCCTTTGAATTTCAACCAAGAAGTTTAATCAAGCAGCTTTTATGCAAACTTATGTACTCTTACCAAGTTCCTAGAACCTATGACTATTACTGTTGACCCCTGTTAGAAGGTAAAAAAAAAAAAAAAAAAGTGAAATCTTTCTACTTTATTTACTTCAAAATGAGAGCAGAATGAATATACAAAGAGCCAGGATAGGTCACAAGTAAATGAAAAGTTCCTTTTCATCTTATTTGCATGTTTTTTATTCTTGGTTTTACCTCCCTTTAAGAGCCATGTAAAGTGAGTTTCTAAATCAAACTCACAAAAATCAAACCTACAACTCACCAAAATCAAATTCTAAATGATACAGTGGTGTCAGGAAGATTTCTTCCAAATATAATGGAAAACAAACTACAAAAAGCATCCTCTGCTCAGTGAGAACCAAGAGTGTCATTACTAAACGTGTTAAATCAGTAACTTCCACAGCTGATGTGTCAGGTTGGGCAAAACGGCATAAACTAAAGAAACACCCTGGGAAGAACTTTAGTTTCAATACTTGCTGGCTCATCACAGCTACAATATTCATACTCTACCCTTCATTTTAAAAAATTTATTAGATGACTTCCCTAACATTTTCTAAATGTAATATAACTTTAAAAAAATCAATAAAAAATTAAGGTGTTTTAGAATTCAGAGGAGAAAAATGGAGAGTATTCACTCTACCAAAGGACTGCCAGTTGTAACTAGGAGAAAAAAATTACTTAAAACCAGAGGTAAGTCTAAAACAAAGTAACCTTTTGATCTACAACACTTAAGGGAAGGACAGTGGGAAAAGGCAGGCAAGGAAGACAGGATTTATTCAGATTACAAAATGACATGTGTACTGAGTGTGCTGGCCTCCAGGTGGTTCTTGAGTAAAGACAAGAGTAAGGAAAAGCTATCAAGCATAGCACACATAAATATGACCCTGGCCCTAGGGGAAAAAAATCTGAGCAATGAAGCCCAAATATAGGAGCACAGTCTAAAAATAACCCTTCTGCATCTACAGAGGTATTTTCCTGTTAGTGTTCATTTGAAATGTGTGGGAAGACAAAACAGTTTGAATTAAGTGAATTTCCAGATATTATAAAGTCAAGTGATGCTCTAAACCATATTCGACCAATAGTAAAAAATCAATTTCTCCTTCCTCTAGTTTTCTTGGGGGCAGGGGAACACAAAGGAAAATAATGGGCAAGAATGTCATTCTAAATTCTAGGAGAAGCTGATACTATCTCTAGGTAAAACATCTTAATGTCTATGTCATGGGAAACATTAAATCCTTGGAATTGTGTCAGTGAGAACCACTATAATTATTTTTTTTCCATAAAGAAAGATGAATAGAAGATGACAGAATGTTGACACTGTGGTTACATTTTCCTATCATGCCACAATTTAAAAGATTTCAGTATCACTGCCTAGGGTGTTCCCTCGTCCCCCTTAAAAATGAAAAAAAAAAAAAAAAGTGGTGTTTAAAAAAAAAAACCCACAGCCTATGGGTTGACATATGTAATTCCAGCACTTCTTCAAAAAATATTTAAAGGGTATCTACTAGTAACCAGATTCTATGCTCCATGCTGCCTCCAGCTGAGGTCAATCTTTTCCCCAATGGCAAGTAGAAAAAGATGGGCCTTACTTCTTTTTTGCACACTATTTAAAATTATAGAAATACAATGGTAGTGCAAAAATAAAGAAATGGAGTACCAAAGGATCCCTTTTCACTATATAAGAGCAGAGAGAAGGCATAAGAATACGTCCTTTTGGTCACATGGGAAAAACAGTCCCACCTTGACTATTTCAGTATAAAGCAAAGATAGAGCTTGGTGGTAATGACTGGGCAGATGTCACTGAGTCCCACTGTGACACCCTGCCTTTGGAGCTATGAGTAACACCCATTCAATAGTCCTGGGCGTGCATATGGGTGCCCAGCAGTGATGGTAGGACAGAAAACGAGACCCCATCTCTGCCCTCAAGAAGAGTCAAGTTTTAGTGGAAGAACTTACAGTGTGAAAGATTTTTCCTATTCATGCTCAGGAGCACCAGATCTGGTCTGGGATGCCGTGGAAATCTACACAAGGATGTTGTTACAGATTACCTGTCCCAAAAATCCAGGCCCACATCCAAACCCTTTTTTTTTTTTTTGGCATACTTTATGCAGCACAGAATGAACACTTCCAGGGATGTTCAGAGTTGTGACAAATTAAATTTGCAAAGCACACCTCTGATACCTGGCCATCCCAAACAAGTCCTTCAGGACTTTCACACAAAAGTAGATCTCACAATCTCACAGCCAGTTGTCTCAGTTAAACAATGGAAGCAAACAAGAAGGTGACTTACATAGGTGGTCTGTGATGGAGAGTCAGAGACTTGCGCCTTTTTCACTGAAAGCACATTTTCAGGACTGTGGGACAGAAGGAAGGAAATGACAGGTACACCACACCTTTCCTGCTCATCTGTAAACCCATTTCTGTGGTGGTTCACTTTCTAAAGTACCCACTGTATTTACAATAGAGTCTGTATTAAGAATTAGAAGCTAAAATTAGAACATAAGAGAATTATTTTAAAGGTATACCATATATTAATTAAGCCATGGAGAAATGAATTATTTTGACTTAAGAGTAGTTAGTTGGAAACACTGGACGTAGGCTGAACACTTTTTTTTTTTTTTTAAAGATTTTATTTATTTATTTGAGACAGAGAGAATGAGAGACAGAGAACATGAGAGGGAGGAGGGTCAGAGGGAGAAGCAGACTCCCTGCCGAGCAGGGAGCCCGATGCGGGACTTGATCCCAGGACTCCAGGATCATGACCTGAGCCGAAGGCAGTCGCTTAACCAACTGAGCCATCCAGGCGCCCGGCTGAACACTTCTTATTAAAATACAGAAGTGAGAAAAGAATCTGACAGAGACATGACTGGAGACCATTGGGCAGTGCCACTCGATGTAAAATGATCTAGGGATATTATTGCTATTGAGTACCATGGCCCATTCCTAGATTCTAGGGAAAGAGCCCTTGTACTGTATTTTCAGGACAAATGCCTCCCAATCTAATGAAGATCCTTTCTTCTTTGGTCTTTCTCAACTTCTATTTCTCTTGTTAGTAAAAGGGGGGTTTAACCCATGCTGGCAGATACATGGACAAAAGCATGTTAAGTTGCCCCCCCCCCCCCCATTTCAGAGAACTGAGAATCCTGCTGAAATCTAGTGTTGTTTTTGCCTGTCTGGCATATGGATTTTATAGGCAATCACCTACCCCTTCTCCTTGCACTCTTGGGGTCACACTTGCTATCCCTCTAACCCTGCCAAAAATGTGCCAATGCTGAACAAAGACCTAGGATAGATGAAGTAGACTTTCTCCTCGGAATTCTAAGTCTCTCCAGCTTTCTTACAGGTACAAGGGCTACCTCATATTCTTCAGGCAACTTTTTTTTTTTTCCTTTTTTGCTTAAGTTTAGTTTCTCTTGCTTACAATCAAAGTAATTCTGATGCATCAGCTAAAAGAAAAAGGATAAAGAAGTAGCGCCTTTGGTCCTACTTGGTGGCTTCTCTATGATCTTCCAGGGGTACAAACCAAGTCGGCCCAGAGAACAGCACACCAAGGAAGCAGGCATTAGTTCAATACTGTTCTACCAAGTTGAGTGTCCCCAGGGGCAGTCTACCAAATGGACTCCAGTGAAAAATCTCTCAAGCTCCATTCTCAACTACTGGAAAATAATAAGAAGTACCACATTGATCATTCAAATGCAAAAGCATCATCAAGCAATTAAAATATATTTTGAGCCTATGTCCCACTGGATTCCTTGCACTTTTTTTATTTGCCCCAATGCCATAAAGCTTGTGTTTCTTAACACATTCATGAATAAGAGGGTTCAGTGAGTATAAATATCAACCTATGGACAAACACAGGCAATTTACCACTCTTTTTAGTACTGAGAGCTTACATTTTATAGTACTGTGCAAAATGATCCCATGTACTATCTCTCCACTGATCTTCACAAGCCTCCTCTAAGTAGGCAGGGAAGCCAGGCATCATAATACTCATTTTACAAAAGAGGTAGTTAGATCAAACCCTGCCCAGAATCACAGAGCTAGTAGTGGAAATGCTGGCCCACTGCTGGGCTCTGATCTCTGCCCACCAAACACAGCACTCTACTGCACATCATGACAAATCCAGAATCCTAAAGCCACTATATTTAGTTCCAGGGGTCCTCATTGGTAATGGAAGAAATAGGGCTAAATGAATCTGTGGAGTAAGGTGGAGAGGAGAAGCAACGAATGGCAAAGAAAGAGATAGCCAAGTCCTACCTTGTGTTAGAGGAAAAAAGAGTTTCATCAGTGTTGCTTCACTAACCACATTCAATTTCCGGCTTCTTCATGAAAGCTATTAATTATCATTAATAGACTCATAATAAGTATTATTGGAAACAATGAGTATGCTTAATAAAGAAACCATGTAATAAGCCAGATCATTGTTCAAAACTAGGCAAACATCTTTAATATAGAATATTCAATTTTAGTACCTTAAATGTTAAAGAAAATGAAAAACAAAACAAAAAAACCCCACACTGAGCATGTTTGCTCTGGAGTTAGCCAATTTTAAGTTAAGTACTATAGATTAAATACTTACAGGTTAAGTACAGGTAGTACATACACTGTCCTTGCCTTTCAGGAGCTTAAAATTTAGTTAAGTTCTATGATATGTCCAGAAAATAGAGCCATCAATTCTCTGACTTCCATGGATCTCTTCTTCAGATCAGTCTATCTCCTGCCAGAAGCTTCTGGTAAAACAAAACCACAGAAGGAGGCGCCTTGAAATGTGGATCAAATGCTTAAAATCAAGAACTAAATCCAAGATAATACTTTTCAACATGGCTCAATGATGAGTAATACAGATGCCATTCTGGAAAATCTGTGTTTTCAAAAAACACAGGAATCACTCTTGGGTCCAAACACAATCTATGGCTAGCACCCAGCCAAGGTAAATGTATGCATTTGGAGCAAGATATTAGATCAGAGTTAAAAATGAATAAAAGCATGGCTAGATGTAGTAGTACAGTCCCTGAAGCAAAGGAGCGGACACCTAAGGAATACTAGAAAAGCAGGACCCTGAGAACAAGAAGCCAGAGTAAGCACTCAATGAATCAGAACATGACAGCCAAGTTCATGTTCAAACTAAACATTATGTGTTTATATGTTCATGAACATATGAAAGATATTGACACTAATTTTTTACTAGACCTAAGATCAGTTCTGAAGAGTAGAAATTCCAATTTTCTAGACTTTATCTCAAGTTTTACTCTTGGAGGAGGGAGTATTCTATCATAGTTTACACATAAATTTATCATGGGCTTAAAAAAAAATTTTTTTTGAAAAGTGCTACCAACTCTAACCAGGCATGAAAAATAATAAAAGAATAAAGAAAATGAGTGATTCTTCATGAAAGAGAGAATATAAGAGCTGCTTTTTGAAGTGCTGAACAAAAATAAGAAGTGCTCTTGCTTGTTCCAGAAGACAGTGGAGAACAAGAACCAGGATACTCACACAACAGCATGGCAACGTTTATGCCAACAACTGGCTAATTGCTATGGAGTTTTTTCCAGCCTTCAGGAAAATATTATTTATAAAATTTCATATAACCTCACGTACAAGGTTTCTGAAGATAGGCTGTTGATGGTGTTGGAGAGGGGGTGGGTGCTGGCGATAGAGAGTGTTAAATTCCTCTTCAGTATCATACCCCTGGCCTAAGAGGAATTTAGATATAATTTTGATGTACACACCATCACCACACCAAATGCCCACTTTAGAAAGAACACAGTTATATATTCTTAAGCCACTGAGAATTATTCGAGGTAATGAAGTTAAAAAAGGAATGCTTACATTGGCTAGGAAAGGTCTTTCAGTTAATTGCCACTCCTCTGTCCATTTACCAGAACCTTCCTGGAGAGCTAACACGTTGTGTGCCTATGTTCTATGGCTTGTATGTAGTCTCAACCCTTGGATGTCAGTTACACAAAAGCATCAACAACTTAATAGTCACTGGTGGTAGGGTGAGGGAGTGGAAGACTTGTGCCCAAATCTTCTGGTCATAAATTTATAACTTGTGAATACAAATTTCAAGGTAGATAGATAGAGTTAACAAATATCCAGTCTTAAAAATATCTCCAAAGAACTAAAAGTCAATAGACATAAATTTAAACCAAAATGCAACCTAATCTCCCAAAAGACAAAGCCTGCTTAAAATGAAACTCATACATTCATGTGCCTTTAGGAAACATTCACGGCCATTAGGAAACAGGCCAATAAATATACCTTGGTAAAATTTTAATTACCCTCATCTCACTCCTGGACACAGAATTAGAGGTATCAGGTTTTTGGTTTTTTTTTTTTAAAGATGTTATTTAAATTAATTAACTAAAGATGTTACTTTAAAGTAATCTCTACACCCAACGTGGGGCTCAAACTTACAACCCAGAGATCAAGGGACCCATGCTCTACAGACTGAGCCAGCCAGGTGCCCCTAGAAGTATCAGTTCTAATGGAAGGGATGGTAGATAGTAATTATTTATACTGTTTCAGAAAGTCTAACATGCATTGGAATATGAGCAAGTTGACCCTTTGGAAACGGAACCATTGCAAGGAAACACTGCCCAGAAACAACTGAAGCATGAATGACACATTCTGTTACTTCTCTCATTTTAGGCTAGGAATAGGCAGCAATAATTTACCAGCACCTGAATTCACCTAAGCAAAGCTTTCTCTTTGCTGTCATTAATATCATGCTTGGCCCTTATGGGACAGAGAAAAGTCTATAGTCAGCCAACTTTCCGTGACGACGGACATGCTCTATCTCTGCACTGTCCAAGAGAGTAGCCACCAGCCACATGTGGCTAATGAAGGTCTGAAATGTGGCTAGCATGAATGATGAATTCCACTTCTAATTTAATTTTAACTAACTATTAATTAAATAGCCCCAAATGGCTAGTTGCTACCATTTTGGACAGCATAGGACGTGTTTTATTTAGAAGAATCAATCTCAGACTTCTCGTAACTTCAGTTACAAACCACACACTGATATAGTCAGAAGCCCACTAAAGATATCACAAAGAGATGAAAGGGCAATTTTCCTTTATCAAATAATACTGGACTTATATTGGATAAACTGTAATGTAGATAAATCCACTCACAGTACTCAAGGTGAAGGTATGAAGTATGAAGTGTTACGGTGACTGATGCCTTAGAAGTCAGTCACGGACACTCACAGGAAGCTAGACCTGAGACCCGGCAGGTCAGACAGGCTGCCTCTGAGTTCACGGTGGCCAGCAACAAAAAAGGTACATGTACAGATTAGGAAGAACCAGTTTTCCACCCCCACCCACATGAGAACCAGCCTTTTTCAGACAGTTCTCTTTCTCCCAAGACCAGGTCAAACACAACGCCAGATGAACAAAGATCTGTTTTAAAATTGTTTAAACTGCAGGAAACTCCTATTTGGGGGAGTGTGGGATGGTATTATGAACTCTCAATCCAGTCAAAGCATGGCTGGACCATAATAAGTCAAAAGAAATATATGTGTATATATTTAGAATTCAACTCTTTACAGTTCCAATTGAAGTAACTAAGCCAAATACACAATTACAGAAATTACATAGAGACATAGCTAACAGAAAACACATCAACTGTTACTCTAATCTTAAAGTATACCAATAAATACTTCACAGTGATATGAAATTGACCCTTGAAATAGTTGTACTTAAAACCTGTTTTGAGAGAGCCTAATCTCTGCAATATAGGCATAATAAAGTGCATAGGCAATCTGCAGGGGTGTAATAAATAGGCAGCTGTCCAAAAATCACCCCCCCACACACACACACACACTCAACAAGGCCAACCTCATTTTAATGAAAGCAAGATACTGACTTGACAGAGATAACACAGGACCTTGAATGCACGTGCCCGAGATGGGCAGTTTTTAATGGAGAGCAGACAGGAACAGGAGGTCCTGTCCTGATTTGAGTGGGTCATTTCAGGGAGGGATTCCGGCAAGTCAGAGGACGTACGACTAGACGGCGCTCAGAGGAGCAGACCAGCGAAAACAGGGCTGGAGAGGCCCCAGGGACAAATACCTTCCCAACCCTCCCTGTGTCACAAGGAGAGTGACAGAGGCTCACACTGGGTGTAGGAATGAAAATCTAGAGGCAATCTACGCTTGCAAACATCATTCATAAAGTTCTATCCTGCAAGAATAAAAATGAGGGCACGCGAGAAGGGCAGTCATCAGAGGCAGGCCTTCCCTGCTACAGTAATCTGATTACATACTGCCAATATACAACCCAAAGTAACCAACAGTGGCCAGAAGGCAGTGGGAGTTATATCTATGTACCAGGACTAAGAAAGGACATTTCATTTCTCCATTTCTTGTTGTTCTCAAGTCCTACTCCCTGCCTACTCCCCAGGTCCCACACAGAGCAAGGGATCCAGGATCTTGTCTTTGGCTGGTGTCCTGGGCCATTTCCAGGATCTCTGAACTTGCCTGTTCAAGGCCACGGTGGATTATGAAAGGTCTTCTCATCCTGAGCTCAGACATGGCAAATGAAACCAATGCCTGGTGCAGGCCTGTAACAAGCCTGAGATGCTGCGGCCTGCAGAAAGCATGGTCTAGGGCAGGCCTGCCAGTGGCCCCGAGCCAGCTGACCAGCATCCAGTCACCGTTTCTTTTCCAAACACCGACTGAACAAACCTTGATTCAGCTCTTAGGTTACGCTCCGGTGGAGAACAGCACAGAGGAAGCACCAAGAGAATGACTGGAGAGAAACTATTCTGGGCATAAACCAAGTACATGTTCCAGTGGAATTGTTAATAACTCAGGGGTCTTTTATGTTTGTTTGAACCTTCCATGTCTAGCTGAGGAAAAGACATATTTCTTTTTTCTCCTCAGGGAGAATAAAAGCAGGAAAGTAAAATTCCTGGTAATGTTATATCCAGTCAAACAGGAAGGTTAGTAGGCTCAGGGCTGAAAGGTTTCCAGAACTACACTGAGCCAATCTGAAAATAATTTATTTGATTTTCATTTGTTTCATTTCCTCCAAAATTATCATTCAGCTCCCTGTTCCCATACCCACTAAGACGAAAGGAAGCATTCTGTAAACACAACAAAAATATAGTATTTAAGAAACACCTGAGATGTAAAGAAATTGGAACCCTCATTCATTGCTGGTGGAAATAAATGGTACAGCCACTTTGGAAAACAATTTGGCAGTTCCTCAAAATGTTAAACAGAGAGTCTCCATATGACCCAGCAATTCTATTCTTAGGTATTTACCCAAGAAAACTGAAAATATACATTCACTCAAAAACTTGTACACAGACAGTGATAGCAGCATTCTTCATAATAACCAAAGAATGGAAACAACCAAAATGTCCACGAATAAACAAAATGTGGTATATCCATAAATGAAATATTATTTGGCAACAAAAAGAACTGTTGTACTGATATATGCTATGACACAGATGAACTTTTGGAAACTTTATTCTAAGTGAAAGAAGCCCGTCACAGAAGGCCACATATTGTATGACTCCATTTACATTAAATGTCCAGAATAGGCCAATGGTCACATACTGTATGACTCCATTTACATTAAATGTCCAGAATAGGCCAATCCATACAGACAGAAAGCAGATTCCTGGTGGCCTGGGATGGAGATGGGGGTGGGGGTGAGGATGGGAGTAGCAGGAGAATGACTGCAGTCACAGATGACTGCTAATGCCTTTGAAGTTCCTT